ATCCATGAATTTTATTCGTTGATTCAACGTACAGCGGTCATAACTTAATCACCAAGAAAATTTACGTACGACCGTTCATTGTATTAATGACACCCGTCATCGGCCCAAAATTAATGTTGACGTTCACTGATTTGATGTACTTTTTTATTAATATAACGTACCTTTTTCGTTCTGTGTACTAATAAGGTAGTTTTCGTCATTTTATTAACCACTAGTCAATAAAAACATAGCCACCTCTGTTATAATTAACCCGAATTCACTTTGCAATGTGAGATTGGCACTCGAATCTAGTAGGTATTTATCAATAATGACTTTGTCATATGCTGATTTGATTAGAATTGAAAAGAAGTGATTTCATAGTAACAATAGGTTCATATTTCAGTTTCACAGAACTAAAATGATTAAAATATTTTGTTAGTGGTGAAAAAAATTGTATATATGCATCTTGGTAGTAAAGGATACTATTACCACGGAACCTTATATATACCCCACGGCTGAAGCCTCGGGATATAATAATCTTGGTCCCTCGGTAATGCTGATATTCTTTTCTACCGTGGTGTGTAAATATCTATTCCGCTGGGCATTTTACGAAATAGTACAAATAATCACGCCGAATTACATTCGTAGTAGTAGAGGTTAGGTTCCATGTGAGTGGAGCGAATACCGCCCCCCACTGCGACCCCAGATGGTTCTATTGTGGTTCACCCCTAGAGGTTATAGTTCACTGTACAATCCACTTCTTTTTACAAAGTCTTCTACAAAGTCCATGGTTGAATGAGAATGAGGTGAGATTTGTCTGGTGTCTTTTAGACGACAATCTCCCGTAAACAGTCCTGTTGGAATTAGCAGGTTATACCCCTGCTCCATTCCAGGATCTGCCTGGTCTTTCCTTTCGTTGGTTTAGGCAGGAATGCCTTCGAATGGGTTAATCCTGGTAATTCAGACCAGTGCGTATGAGTCTTTTCCCCTCCGCCAAGATTGAGATAGTTGTTTTGGCCGCACTGGCGCAGACCCCAAAGTATGGTTCTGGTCCTATGGACCCAGATTCGGTTCCCTGTTTGGCGAGGATGTCGGCTTTCTCGTTACCCTCCACCCCCTGGTGTCCAGGCATCCTCAGCAAAGTAACTCTGTTGTTAGCACTCAGGCATTCTAGGGATTCAATACAGTTCCATACAAGCTTGGAATTTATCTTGCTGCTGGAGCTCGGTGCTTCAAGAGCAGCCTGACTGTCTGATACAATACTCATGTTTTTGTTTACTAGAGATCTATTCGTGAACTTTCCAGCACACCATTCAATTGCGAAAACTTCCGCCTGAAAGATTGTAGAAGACTCACTGAGATTGACTGAGATTTCCGTCTTCGTTTTTCTGCTGAACACACCGGCTCCGACACTAAACTGGGATTTCGAACCATCTGTGTACAAGTGTACATTTGGTGTCCGGGAATTGGGAATTGGATAGATCCTCAAAAAAAGGGCGCAGATATATATTGTGGGGAGGTAGATAGTGCAAAAAAAATTATAAACTATAGTAGATGACTGATTAAAATCTCGATGCCTTCGAGACATATGCGTAGGCTGCAAAGCTGGACAATGGAACACCACATATTATGTATATACCTATAATGGCTATGGTTTAGTTTAGTAGTTTAGTTAAAAAAAAATGTATAGTTATAGTAGTAGTAAGCGAGTATAGTATAATAGGTAGTTCACGAGAAAATATTTTATAATAGTAATTCACTCAGGGTCGGGCCCAGGGGGGGGCTTTGTGGTGTCCACCCCCCAATCTTAGGCAAGTTGGCAAATTTAGTTTGGGAGTTCTACAAAAAAACGTTTCATGGTAAATATTTGTGTTTCTGACTTCCAATTATAGGAATTTTCCAAAAACATAAAATTTCGATTAAATATTCGGAATTTCCAAGTTTAAACATGAAGGAAAAATACATTTTCAGTTCGAATTCGAAATTTCCAACTAATTATAAGCAGAGAATTTGAAGCTTTTGAAGTCAAAATTCACTTACTGCCCACCCCAAAAATTTTCTTTTGGTTCGTCCGGTCCCTGGATGCACACTGATTCATCAAAATGAATTTTGGGCCTCATGCATCATATTAGCTTTCTTAAAACATTCATTATAATGACATTATCAATATTCTCATCACATTATATAGTTATAACAGATGAAACGAGCTCAACTTGTTAGTGGTTTAGTGTAGTCATTGTTTTTCTATACTCTATCTTTTACAATTTATAATGTATAGTGATAATGTAATGATAATGAATGTTTCATGAAACCACCTTCAGAGTCGGCCACCTTATTTATAACGCCACAAGTGAAAAATAAAAAGTAGTGGCGAAAAATAAATTGGAGATAGGGAGAAAGCAAAATATTTACACTTATAAACAATTCAATTATTGCCGTTACCACATCCTGTGCCTCGATAGAGAAAATGCACTTTCCTTCCCACTTCAACGAATTAGATTCCGTTATTCGCAGGCAGAGCACTCTTATCGGTCCTGCGCATAATAAACGAAGACACGTGTGTGAAGATAAAACACAATTATTTCATGCGGGTGTACTTACCAATGCAACTAAATGATGTCGACAACTATATTTGGCCGATTTTAATCTTGAATTGAAACAGAGCGGGTTCCGTGAAACAAACACTGACGTAGATAGTGACCCCTCGTATACAATTATTGACGATGTCTGTGGAGTTGTATTGGAATATTTGGACATGGCATCGCCATCTCGTGGCGAGAGCATGTACTTCGGAACAACAAGGATGAAGGAACCTCAGATCCTTGTTGATTTGATTTGGAGTCGTTTTCCAGTTTTGGTTATTCTTTGACTGTTATTGTTGTTATAATAAAATCGTCACTATACATTATGCATTATAGACAAAAAACCTACATTTTTACTTTACCAATCTACATATTAAAAAAACAAACAATATACGCTATTCGCGATAGAATATAAGCCACCTATCAGAGTTCTTGAAAGTGGCCTGTTTATTTCGTTTTCATTCATTGGTTTACTTTTTTTGTTTTTTGTTTGTGCTTATTGGTCGGTCATACCATCGAAACAAACCGCTCAGAAGTGTTCCAGTTGTCGCCGTCAGATGGGACAACGTGTTATTTTCTATCGCGAATACCAGAAGGCTGAAGGCTGTCAAATATGCATTTATCAAAAGTCATTAGATGGATAGATTCGTTTATTGTGTTTAGAAAAATACATTTTCATCACAAAAGAGGGTTCGAATTATATATGCGATATGCGATCATGATTATGGAGTAAAGAGACTGATCTGAATGAAATGAATAAAATAGAGAGAAAAAGAAAATTAAGCTAGAAGAGAAAAACGAAACATTTTCTCATATTTATACAAATTCCCACATATACAGGGTGGCATTGAAATAAGTGCAAATATTTCAAACACTGAGAAAGCTCAACGTGTACTATCGAATGGCACTAATGAAAAAAAATTGTGACTGAAATAAAATTTCAGGTTAGACCCCTTTTTCCACCCAAAAAGTTCTACACTGTAGCAAATCTGACGTCACCTCTCTTCAAATTTTCATGCGGTAGGCACAATCACACACGCCGAGTTCAATCATTAAAATTGTTTTTTCTGTGACGGGAAAAAAGTTTGGCATTTCATCTCTGTTGGCAGGTTATAAAATGTCACTTTTCATGAATTATTTTTTTCCCGTGGGAATGAAGGATGAAATTGCTCGTTGATTAGAAGAATCAGAAAAAATCTGATACCATGGGAATATATTCCTGAACTGTATCATATTGATGTGCTGAATACGTGCACTTATTTCAAAAACACCTTGTATATATACCTACATGTGAGTTTTATACTTACCTATAAGCACCCCATAACGTCTTATACCCGAGAGAGTACCAAAACAATCCCTAATAGCTTAAAATTCATTCATTTACTATAATGAATGGTCGTAACTTCTTATTATTATCCCTGATTATTCAGTGTGAATACTCAATGTTATTATTCATCAAAGACTGCACAAGCTTTGTTAGATATATAGGTACAGTCGTCTTCAGCGAACATGTCGCGGTTGGACGGTATGAGCGCTCTTATTGCAGCAGTGATCAAGGGAGCTGACACCGTCCATGTGCGACATGATCTCTGAAGACGACTGTACATACAATAATAATGTTATATGGGTGTTGAGTAGAAGTACGACAAGATCGCGTTTTGCCTTATGCCTGAATAGATAGGGCATTCAAACAGAATATATAGCAGGGATTCAGTTACTTGTAGTAGATTGCAAATTGAGCAAAACTCTTGTAGGGTCAATAATAACGGAACCATGAAATGAGAACATCAAAGATAAATAAAATGTGTGCTATAATGAGACATTTACATTGTATGGAGCATGCACTCACTATATGGCATTTATTTCTATTGTTTACTATAGCGACAACGGTTTCAAATGGGTTGTTATGGCGACGGGATGTTTTCGCAGTGCAATTTCGCTCTAGAGAGCAATTGACGCTGTAATTTTTTTATAATTCCATTGTTCTCATGAGACATTTTATTTATGAGGGAAATATTCAGTAAAATATTGCATGACATATCTTGGAATTCTATTATATATTCTTAGGCTTGAGTCCGCTTGATGAGTAATTGATGGATCTACCATAGATTGGGATACCCAATTTGGATGTATAAATTTAAATGTCCCGTGGATAAAAGAAATCTTTAGGTATGGGTTTTCTCATTGGTAATTAAAGAAGGCACATTTTAATGGTTTGGAAATTGATGAAAACATAAATAAAATTACTTCAATAAAAATTGTATTTGAAACAAAGCTATAAACAAATTTTCTGAGGGATTCCTGAAAATATCTAAATTAACCAGATTAACTGTTAGTACATATATACCAAGAGGAATCAACAATAAGTGACAATCTCTGATATCATTATTATTTAGTCAATTATTTTGAATCAAGATTCGAGTTTGGATCATTCATCAGTTAGGTATGTATAGGTGATATATCTAACTTTCCTTCATATTTTTTTGTTTTAACAAAAACTTTCCAAGGAAGTATAGACCAATATAAAATATAGGCACACAGTGATATAGACAGTTGTAGTAGCTGATGATTTTTCTTACTTCCAAGAGAACAAATGCAGTGCTTTGATAGGAAAACATCTGCATTTTCAGGAAAAGCATCACAAGCTTCGATACTTTCAGTGCCTGAAAAAAATACATTGAATTTAAAATTGGCTATAATCAGTCTGAATATTTTCTATATTATAATGGCTATGATCAGTTTCAATATTTTAGAAACCAAATATTGCTGATTGAGGTTGGGCCAGGTTACGCATAACCGGCGGTCTTCGGACTGCCAGCTGAAGACTATAACCCTACACTGATGAGAGCCAAAAAAGCTCGCAACCGGTTTGTAGAGGTCGTAGCTTTAACCTGGATAAATCGAAATCAATCGGTATCTAGGAATAGAAACACTTGCATTAGTATTCGTTTATATACGTATATATCTATGCAAGATTTCGGGAGAATGTAATCCAAGGGTCACGTTCACTGTCATTAAATGTCGTCTCAACCTCTCTATTTTTCTTGATAGCATCGTCAGAATTCATAGGATATTATCGGAACAGCTCCGCCCGTGTCGGCCATTTTGTGTGGCTTGTCATTATGCCGGGCAGTAACTAGAGAAATAATAGACCTATGCAATAGTGTGACCATAGGTGTTTTGCGCCATTTATTAACGAAGGCCCGTAATAATTTGGTAGTGGCTTGTTATACTATTGCTTCAACCGAGAAGAGCACCAACTCTTTTTGCCCTCTTGTGTGGCTTGTCAATGTTTGACATTAAGCCCCTAGATATAAAACAAAAACCTCTCAAAATTGTTCCTCTTATATGTTGTGTCCTATTGTTAATTTTTGTTAATAATAATTATATAAATTCACACTAGAGGACATTCGGTACGGTAAACATGACAACACTGGACTCTGGGCGTTGTCTTGTCAGTTCTCAGCAGTCAGCAAATAAGCATATAGCCAATATTAACATGTTTTTTTTGTGGAGTATAAGGGATATTTTGACACGCTGGTTGCTCGTACAAGTCACAAATTAATAACTATAATATCATGGCTTCCTCCTATTATAGGGCAAATGGAATATTTTATTTGGATGTAGTTTTATTCAACGATAGGGCTCTAACAACTTTTCAATAACTTGACTATAACTGGTGTTCCCGCGCCGACCCTGTGCTCCACATCTCAGGGTGTGAGGAAGAAAGGGAAGAACGCATTCCGCTTAAGACAACGAAGCGAATAACAGCGATATCGAGAGTATAGACATTTTTTTGTTTTAAGAAGTTTTACAGTCCACTTCTCTGATATGTTCAGCTCAAGTTATATGTTGAATAAATATTGTTTAATCTAGTGCCATACTATTTCTATAACAAAACCATAGTTTACATATGGTCCTTCCAGCGGATAAACAATAATCTAGTTTCAATAAAACTAAATAAAAGTGCGATATTCCGAAGTCTAAACGGCCGATAACTGTGCGCCAGGGTGAAGCCGGGCAATCGTCCAACGCAACTGACGACCCGTCGACGCAGTAGTTCCAGCGCTAGACAAGCAAGATTCAGCTGTTCAACTGGTCCACGCCGTACTTCGAGCAGACAACAGGGGTACAGTGAGTTTTTCATTTCTACCTGCCTTACCCTTCCAGTCTATATTCGAAATTCCTTTCTATTTTCATAATAATGGCAGATTTGGCTACTTTGAAACGAAAACGGTGTATTGTCAAAGGCTCATTAACAGCCTTCCATAAATATTTGGACAAAACTCTAAGTAGGCAAGATTTAACTGAACTAGAAATTTCCATATTGCATGACAAGCTAGCCAATACCTCTGATTTGTTAGGAGAATTCAATATTGTTCAAAATGAGATTGAAATGACTTGCGATTTAGCTGCCTTGATCGAACAAACTCAGGAAAGGGAAGCCTTTGAGGACAACTTTTATGAACTCACAAATAAAGCTAAGTTATTTCTGAAACAGTTTGATGAACAGAAACAGAAAATTCAAATTAGTAAATGCGAATCAGTTGGTATAAAGTTGCCAGACATTTTATTGCCCAAATTCAATGGTAATTTCGAAGATTGGCTAGAATTTCGAGATATATTTGATAGTTTAATCCACAAAAATGACTCCCTAGCCCCCATGCAGAAGTTTTTCTATTTACGAGGTGCTCTAGAAGGCACTGCTGCGGCGTCAATAAAAAAAATTCAATATACCGCGAACAACTATGCAGTGGCGTGGGATGCTCTCTGTGAGAGATTCAATAATACTAAAAAATTACTCCATGACCATTTGGGTGCGTTGCTTCTTTTTGAGCCTATTCAGAAGGGATCGAGCGATAAACTGCAGCAAGTGGCAGACAACATCACGCGACATTTGGGTGCTATAGAGCAATTGGGACAATCGGTAGATAATTGGGATTGCCTTTTAATATTTTGGATCTCGCAAAAAATCGATAACTCTTCCTTGTGCGATTGGGAGAGACAACAGAGAAACAAAACAGATCCGCCCAATATAGATGAATTTTTAGGATTTTTACGCGAACGAGCTAATTTTGTAGACTCTCTCGACTATAAATGCAACCAAATTCGTGATAAGAGTAGCAAGTTCAATAAGGAACCTATAAGAGGTGTCAAAAAGGAATTTTCAAGAGTTTTGGTATCTAACGAGGTTTCTAATCATTCCTATACATGTTCTTTTTGTCATGAAGATCATTCAATATACACTTGCGAGAGTTTTCTGAACCTATCCATTCCAGACAGAAATGAATTTGTCAAAAACAATCCTGCTATGTGCACAAACTGTCTCCGAAAAGGACATCCTATACATAAATGCAGAATGGGTCCGTTTAGAAAATGTAGATCTCGTCACAATACGCTGCTACATGGTGAAATCAAACAGACGCACTCGGATGCAACAAAGCCCGAGTCCATCGCGAATGTTCTGAGCAGTGGCGTACTTCAATGTTCGACAGAGCAAACAATTTTGTCTACGGCTCGTGTACTATTGTCTGATAACAACGGCGAATTTCACTCAATAAGAGTCCTCCTAGATTGTGGCTCTCAAACGTCATTCATCACTGAACGTCTTCAAATGAGACTAAAAATTACGAGTTACCCTAGTAATCTTTCAATATACGGTATCACTAATAATATTTCGTCAGTGAAAAGAAAATGCGAAGTTTCGATCAAATCACAATATGGTCAATTTACAGCTGATTTGACGTGCTATATTTTGTCGGAAATAACTGGTAATATACCTAGCGTATCTATAGAGTCTGTGCATCTCAAAATTCCGTCACATGTCATTCTAGCTGATCCAGATTTCCATATGCCCGGTCCAATTGATATGTTGATAGGTGCTGACCTATTTTGGCAACTTCTGGAAACCAATAAAATCGCGTTAGGCAAATATGGCCCACATTTGCAAGAAACGAAGCTTGGATGGATAGTTTCCGGTCCTCTTGGAGCGCTGAGCCCTAAAATAGCTTCGTGCAATCTTAGCCTAAATCAAGAACTGCTTGAAGCACTTACAAAATTTTGGGAAGTTGAAGAAACACCCAACAATAAATTACTTTCGCCAGACGAGCTTTTCTGCGAGCAGATTTTCGCGGATACCACTAGTAGAAACCCTGACGGACGATTCATTGTCGATATGCCCTTGAAACAAAACCCAGAAGTTTTAGGAGAATCAAGATCTCAGGCCGAACGGAGATTCCTAGCAATGGAACGACGTCTAGCAAGAAATGATACTCTGCGAACTATGTACAGAGCATTCATGCAAGAATATATGGATTTAAACCATATGTCGAGAATCGATAGCACTAGCCAACCAGAATATTATATGCCACACCATGGTGTACTGAAGGAATCGAGCCTCACCACGAAGCTTCGAGTCGTATTCGACGCTTCAGCTTCGACTAGTAATGGCATTTCCTTGAATAATATCCAAGCAATCGGCCCGGTTATTCAAGATGACCTGCTATCTATTATACTAAGATTCCGACAATATACATACGTCATATCAGCGGACATCGCGAAAATGTACCGCCAGGTATTAATTAACCCTACTCAGCGATCGTTACAGCGCGTACTATGGCGTGACAATCCATCCGAACCTATATGCACCTATCAGCTCAATACGGTTACCTACGGTCAAGCTGCTGCCAGTTTTCTATCTATAAGATGTTTATTCCAGTTGGCCACGGAAGTTCAAGAAAACAAGCCAGTCATAGCACGAATAATAAAGCATGACTTTTACGTGGACGACTTACTGACAGGCGCAGACTCCCTACAAGATGCGCAACAGATTTGCCGCGAAGTTTCAGATGTCTTGAAGGGTGGTTGTTTCGAGTTAAGAAAGTGGTGTTCAAACTCACCAGACGTTTTACGCGATATTAGTCATTCTCATTTAGCTTATGACACCCTAGAACTCTCGCGTGACGATAAAACAAAAACCTTAGGTTTGACCTGGGCATGCCACAATGATCGTTTGCTCTATAATATCAATATAACGCTCGGTAGTCAAAATAATACAAAAAGAGAGGTCCTATCAATAATTGCAAGAATATTTGACCCATTGGGGTTACTTGGCCCGTGCATAATACTCGCTAAAATTCTATTACAAGAACTTTGGTCAGCTAAAGTATCTTGGGATGATCCTATACCCGACGATATGAAGCAAACGTGGGACGATTTTCAAAACGAATTACCAATGCTAAACAACTTACTTATACCACGGCATGTTATGATACAAGATTACGTAAGGGTGCAATTACACGGGTTTTGCGACTCGTCCGAACGTGCTTACGGCGCATGCATCTACATGCGCAGTACAGATAAAGACAATAACACCAGCGTCATGCTACTCTGCGCTAAATCCAAGGTAGCTCCAATAAAGGTTGTCACGATACCCCGACTAGAACTCTGCGGCGCAGTGGTATTGTCACGCCTAACGAAGAAAGTTGTTAACTCAATGAATTTACAATTTGAACAATGTTTCCTATGGTCAGACTCAACTATTGTTCTGAATTGGGTTAAGACAACCCCAAACCTACTAAAAACATTCACGGGAAACAGAGTTTCGGAAATTCAATCCCTGACACAAAATTGCCATTGGAGACACGTACCTAGTAAAGAAAACCCAGCTGATGTGGTTTCTAGAGGTTTAGCGCCATCACAAATTCTAGATTCCGAATTATGGTGGAATGGCCCACATTGGCTTACCTCAGAACAAGCAAAGTGGCCCAATGAACAATATCAAATGAACGATTTGCCAGATTTGAAAAGTCAAACGTGTCTTGCTTGTAAATTCGAAGATATTCTAGAATTTCCTTTCGAGAAATTCTCTAGTTTCCGTAAAATGATTAACGTTATGGCCTATATGTTACGTTTCAAGGAAAATTGTTTCCTCAGTAAAAACAACCGAGTTTTAGGCAATCTAACCCCCCTCGAATGCAATCGCGCGCTCAGAACCTTAATTAAAATATGCCAAAATCAAAATTTTGGTAGCGATATCCAAGAATTAAAAGAAGGTACCGCGCTAAAACCGAAAAATAAACTTTCAGGTCTCACTCCATTTCTAGATAGCGATCATATCATGCGCGTAGGAGGTAGACTGAAATATTCGGATCACGATTTTGACAAAAGACATCCCATACTTTTACACGGGAAACATCATTTTACTAAAATGTTATTTAAATACGAACACGATCGCTTACTCCATGCTGGACCTCAATTGCTGCTCAGTACAATAAGAAATACCTACTGGCCTATGTCGGGTCGTAATTTGGCTCGAAATGTCGTTCAAAAATGCGTACGTTGTTTCAGATTCAATGCTAAAACTATCCAACCAAGAATGGGTGATTTGCCCAACGCCAGAGTAATGCCTTCTAGCCCATTCTCCGTAACGGGAGTAGACTATGCTGGTCCCTTTCAAATCAAGGATAAAAAGGGACGTGGGTGCAAGATAACGAAATGCTACTTAGGACTATTCATCTGTTTTTCAACGAAAGCAGTGCACCTCGAATTAATTTCTAGCCTCTCTTCGGAGGCCTTTCTGCAAGCGTTCAGGCGTTTTATTTCTAGAAGGGGTAAACCTACAAAAATGTATTCCGACAACGGAACTAATTTTGTCGGAGTTCAGAAAGATTTAGGAAATTTCCTGAAGTCCAAACAAAATGTTTCTAGCATTACTGATTTTTCCTCCCCAGAGTCAATTGAGTGGAATTTTATACCTCCTTATTCACCTCATTTCGGTGGGCTCTGGGAAGCCGGAGTCAAGAGCTCCAAACATCATTTAAAAAGAGTTTTGTCTAAAACACCTCTTACTTTCGAAGAGCTAACTACATTATTGTGTCAAGTAGAAGCAATTTTGAATTCCCGACCATTGTCACCACTTAGTTCTAACCCAAATGACCTCAGTCCTTTGACTCCATCTCACTTTATCATCGGCAAGCCATTAGTTGCCGCACCAGACAAAGATGTGACCGACGTGAAGATGAATCGACTAGACCGCTTTCAACTTGTCCAGCAAATGACTCATCACTTTTGGCAGCGCTGGAAAACTGAATACATCTCCGAGCTCCAACTTCGCAGTAGTTGGCAAGAAAGTCAAGGCAAACTAACCGAGAATGCCTTAGTTCTGATCAAGGACGATAACACTCAACCTACTCGATGGCAACTAGGCAGGGTTCTCAATCTGCATCCAGGCCCCGACGGCATTTGCAGAGTGGCTTCCATCAAAACCTCCAGTGGGATCATCAAACGAGGATTCCAGAAGATATGTCCTTTACCATCGGATCTTTGAAAGGGGATCCTTTCAAGGTGGGGAGAATGTTCCCGCGCCGACCCTGTGCTCCACATCTCAGGGTGTGAGGAAGAAAGGGAAGAACGCATTCCGCTTAAGACAACGAAGCGAATAACAGCGATATCGAGAGTATAGACATTTTTTTGTTTTAAGAAGTTTTACAGTCCACTTCTCTGATATGTTCAGCTCAAGTTATATGTTGAATAAATATTGTTTAATCTAGTGCCATACTATTTCTATAACAAAACCATAGTTTACAACTGGTGATATGAAAACCTTGCTTTATGTGTGGGAATGAAAGATTATATGACAAATAATAAAAAAGCATAAGAAATTACGTCACCATATACCGACGTATCCGAGAACATGGCCAAATGGCGACCATGACGGACGTTTGAAATTCAACAGAAAATGCATAGACAAATAATTTACATAAAAAATCCTTAAGCAGTGCTGCAAAAGTTTCAGGTCGGTATCGACGCAGTGGAGTAATTAATTTTTTTTATGTTCTGGTTCCCACGAAGGATATATCCTGTAATGTTCAGAAAAAATCGTGAGAACCAAGGGAAATAAGGTAGGAATTGGTGTTCTTCTTAAATTTCTGGAGGTCATATGCCTCGGGGAACACCTTCCTTGCCAATGTGTTCCAGAGCCTTGTTGTTCGTTGGATGAACGAGTCTTTGGAAAGAGATGTTTTTGCATGTCTCCAAAGTGACCACGAAGGGGTGCGAAGTCTCAACTCGACGGGTTAATCTCGCGGGGACTGCTAAGGGAGGAACAATTGTTGATATTTCAGAAGAGCATCGTCTACGGTGTTCCAGAGAAGTGCGAGTGAGTTTATGAGCAAGGCATCACCCACGAGACGAATTGCCCTTTTTTAGACAGAATCCAACAGTTTCAGGCTATGTTTGGGTACTGCACTCCAAATATGGGAATAGTATTCCAGGACAGGTCGGATCTGTGACTTATAGATCATAAGCAGCTGACTGGAAGTGAAATAGCTCCTGGCCCGTAACAGAAAACCAAGTTTTTGGGATGCACTTTTAGCAATTGATATCACGTGATTTTCCCAAGAAAGGTTATTGCTGATAGTAATGACAATTATCTGTCTGTCGAATCATAATGGGGATGATATGAACGGAATCACTTCAAAATATTCAAATACTCACTGTCCCTTTGTTTTTTTCCAGCAACAACTTGACCCATACATCCTCATACATGAGAGCGAACGGAACCGTTGCTATACAAAAATAATACCCAGCGTACATTCCATGCCAAACAGCTGACATGAACATGGTTACAATGGTCCGGTACTTCTTGTAAGGAAACCTTTTATAGATATAAGTTGCCAGCCAGTACTGGATGGTTATGTTCCAATGCTTCATAGCTTCTCGCATTGTGGGAAGACAATCAGCCTCATAAGGGTTCAGACAGTGGGTTGTTTCATAGTCATACTCCAGTGTTTTCAGTTTTTCAGGATCCGTTCTGAAATATTGATGTTTGAAAAGAGTTTCTAGAAATCTTTATATAACTTGCATTAATATACTGGGTAATTTTCCAAGGTGACGCACCCCTATAACTTTTTTATTATCGAAGGTAATAAAACGAAATTTGGGGATTGTAAATGATAGTTCAATTGACATTATTTGGCATATCTCCTTGATTTGCCGTATTTCCCGTTTGACCGGATTGACCCCAACTTCCGATTTTTAAATGGCACACCCTGCATTTCATAATCGGATAGGAATTATCATATCGAATTCAGGGTTATTTCAAGCGATTATGGAGATATATTTGCATTCGAAATTTTCACATTCTCAATGAGTGTGACGACGCAATATCGAAACTTCTTTCTCTGGCCCCAAATTTCGTTTTACTGTCTCCAATGATAAATAGTATATTATACATCTATGGTGAGAAGTGAGCTATTATATAGCAAACACTTTTATACCAAGAGGGGCGAAGTGCTGAAAGATTAGTGCGAGCTTTAAGTCCCATAAGTCATGGATCAAAAGAAGTGGGGTGGTAGGGGGTGTAATTTCCAATCAAACTAACCATAAATGTGGTTATCCAATTGTTGGATCAAAAGTTATTATTTGTCTTCTTTTGTATAATAAAAATTAACTGCAATAAAACTATGTTGCATTTGTGATTTTTCCATGTGTTACTTCTTATCAATAACTTGAAAAAAAAATTTGTTTTCCTTGAGTTTTGTCATTGAATGAAATATTTGAGTTGGTTTTTAAATGCCGCTGGCAGGTTTAAAAATACCCCACAAATAGTACGAATTATTAGAAAGAGTTGCCAATTTAACACAGATTCTGAAATGGTATAACATATTATGAGGTTATTCAAAACAGCCTTTTTGTTACTATTCAAATAGGTAGCGTTTTTCAGAAAAATTGAATAACTTTTGAACCATCAACAATTTGATAGTTTGATTGCAAATGACCCGAGGTATATATAATATTTTTTCCACTAATAACACTGAAATATCGACATCTCATCAATTCAGATTTTCATTTCAATTGAAAGAGCAATGCCATTCACCGTGTATATTTAGCATTGTTCAGCATATTACTAAAATTTGGTTATATCAAGTATACCCTAGGAGTTCAATTGTCCAACAAACTAATAGGAATTAGGCTTGACTGTCAGAAAGTAAACGCTGTATTACAATTGCAGGTGAAATTGTGAATAACTACAAAAATCGAGTGAGAATTTAAGTGACATTTATTTTGATAGGAAGCTTGTACCCCGCCCGCATGAAGTTAGAGGAAGGATAGGTACTGATAAATATTGCGAGTATACAGGGTTTCCCTAGACCAGTGGGACAGTTGAATATCTCCTGAACCAATAGGAATTTCCAAAATATTATAATTTCACGTTATATCGCATCATGAGTGCTAACTTCAGGAATGAATATATTTTATACGAGGTGCGCAAGGAAGGCTCACATGATCGAACATCAATTTTTTCAAATGGAACACCCTGTATTTCATTGCATTTTCATATTCTCCTTGAAGAGCTGAATTCACCGACCTAGCACACTTGGGGGTTCTAGCGGGAATGATTTCCGAGATATAGGGTGTGGAAAATCGAGATTTTTCATTTTTGGGAATTTTTTGTGTCGAAACTATTCTTTATTGGTCAAAACGGCTTACATGTCCATATCTTAACTTTTGATTTACTATTTACTCGTATTCAATTGAAACAAATACAGGGTGGTGTAGAATTCTGACTGAAACTGTTAATTCTACACCACCCTGTGTTTGTTTCAATTAAATACAAGTGAATAGTAAATCAAAAGTTAAGATATGGACATGTAAGCCGTTTTGACCAATAATGAATAGTTTCGACACAAAAAATTCCCAAAAATTAAAAATCGCGATTTTCCACACCCTATATCTCGGAAATCATTCTTGCTAGACCCCAAGGGTGCTAGGTCGTTGAACTCAGCTCTTCAAGGAGAATATGAAAATGCAATGGAATACAGGGTGTTCCATTTGAAAAAATTGATGTTCGATTTTGTGAGCCTTTCTTGCGCCCCTCGTATAAAATATTGTCATTCCTGAAGTTAGCACTCATAATGCGATATGATGTGAAATTATAATATTCTGAAAATTCCTATTGGTTCAGAAGATATTTAACTGTCCCACTGGTCTAGGGACACCCTGTATATTAAAAATTCAGTATTCATTAATATGTTTTGAAATATTTAAACCGTATGAATATCGCACATGATACCATTGAACAATCATTGAAGTGGTAGTGGAATTGGTTTGATTGGTCAAATATGTGTCCTTACCGAAAATTTATCATTATTCACCTAGGTTTGAAAAGTGTTACTTTTAAGGAAAACCTCGAATAATGGTGATTTGTCAGGTTGGTTTTCAATTCTAGTCAACTATTTTATATGATAATTTTCGATATTGTCCAAAATAAAGGTACTTCACTCCTGAGCAAAATGTATATTATTTGACATACCTTGTATACGACTGAAAAAATTCGATATTTGATATTCGCGTTTTTGGTTTTAGACCTTGCAGAACTGTTTATTAGGAGGAATACAATTTTTCCTAAAACTAATAATAGAACAGTTTTCTATTTGTTACCAACTTTCTCAGTTACTGTATTGCCTTTGAAGTTTCCATATTATCATTTATCGTTTGGAAAAAACCAATCAAACTCATTGTCTTTTAATTCATTATAATAATATCTAAAATATAGGGTGTTCCATTTGAAAATCCAAAGTAGATGAGATGATGTGATTTCCAGGAAAACCATATGAAAAAAATTCCTAAATTGTGAGGAAGCGCCCTTTAATGAGCATATTTGATGTTCCCAAATTTCAGAAAAATAGCGAAAAAATAGAAGAAAGGCAGGTATACCACCTGGTATGTATACATTTTTTTCATGTTCATAATACATCTGAGATTATTTCCAGTTAATATTGTTACATACAAATAGTAACAATATGAATTGGTAACAATCTGACACTTTTGATCCCAATGAAACAGGCTATCTTTCTGCAATGGAAATAATTGATACCTTATCAATGAAATATAAGTGAAATTACCACTATTTTGAGTCACTTGAGCATGTCAGAGTCAAAGCAGCTATCATATCAGCTGTCATCCAACACGTTTTTAAGAAGTTAAACTTCAACTTCAGCTTCTGGACACTAAGTGTTGCCTAGCAACAGAGATTATTGTTGTGTGTAATCTCTGCTAGCAACATACATACTAATCATTTTATTGCATCAGTAAGAGAAATGTTAACTTGAAGAACTAATTTTGGAACAAAAATGGACGACTTTTGAGCAGATGCAGAAAAATGCTGTTTATACCTAATACATGAAAGAAGATCATTAGAAATTACTTTACATCTCTTTTAATTGTTTGAAATCTCTAGTTGGCCCATGTCCAGCTCTTGGTGAGGAAAATGCTGGATATACACCCATTCCACCAAATAAACATACTATCTCAGTCAGAATCAGTCCCAAGTAAATTCTAGATCTGAATATCACAAAAGAAGGCCAAATATACCAATATCTATACAAGAAAGACCTGTTTAGAAATTCTGGAGTGTTGACATACTGAAAAAATAGAAAGAACATGACTTTTTCAGTTGATACTGTTGATATAGAAGAAGTTGACTACTTACTGATATTGGCCAATAATAGTTTGTGAAAACATGTACTGCCCCCAAAAATGGGATCCAATAAAATTTTTTGAGCAAAATTGGTTTGAAATCATCATATTTATGATATGGCTTGTTCAAATGGTCCAAATATGTTCTATATCTGAAATATGGTCCTGAAAACAATGTTACAGGGTTTCATGTAGTTTCATGATTACTTGATGTTTCAACAAGAATCATATTTCACCTGTTAATACTCCACAATAGTTGAATATATAATAAAATACATCCATGAACTCCAAGTCAAAGCAAATTGTCTCATCTTCAAATTTTTGTTCTTCTGTCCTGGTTGCTTCATCTTTCTTCTTCTTTGTCTCAAAGCAATTATTGACTTCAAAGGCTAGACCAATAATCTTCAATGTTACCATCATTTGAACCAAATTAGTGTGTGATGGGGGATAGGGAATACCAAAATAGGTGGTTGATCGAAAGAAAAATAAGTACAGGAAGGAGAAAAAGAAACTGAAGACATGACATTTCCTGCAAAATATAATAATCAAGTTGAGGAGCTTGATTAGGTATTGACCTTGGTTTCAAAAGGAAAATAGTTACCTTTTATCACAGTACAATATTATGCAAGTATTCACTAGGGTACTTATCAGAACATGCAGTGTATGGATTCCAGAGACAGTGACAACAATCACAAGTCCTAAAGCTGCACCAGTTTTTCTTTTACTGTCTACATTACTTATTGTTCTGTAATACAATCCAAATACCATAGAAAGAACTAGTAACGATAAATAAACAATATCATCGTTATTCATCTTGTGATACTTGTTTTACATTAATTTATTATTACACGTAAATCACCATTTCACTTTATCAAACGAGACTCAAGTACAGACGTAGCACAGTGCACCCACACTGAACAAATTACGAATAAAAACATTTCCTAAGGAAAATGAAGATTCTCATTCGAACTTTGTAGTGTTTGTTTATTTGTTTATGTTATTCTAAGGTTATGTTCATCTGACACAGAACCACAGAACTCGAAAAACGAAGAGTGGAGATTCACACACGGAAGTCACGGAACTCATGCACAAATGACAGTTACCAGAACCGGATCCAGGTACATTTTTTCTCACTTTTGTTTCACTTCACGAATGAAGACCGCAGGGGAAGAACGATCAAACTTTTTTATCCTCCTGCGAAAATCAGAAGTTTGATGGGTAATTTTGCACTTATCATGCGATGGGTTTTTTTTCGAAAATTTTTTTTGGTACTTACGTATTTTTGTCTGAAAAACACGAATTTTATAATGAAAATGTGAACAAACCATTATTTATTGGGATATTTCACTATAAAGTTACAAATTTCACCTTCTTTTCCGCCTGTCTTTGGGGCGCATTTAGAACAATTTGCCCTTCTTTTTCCATCATTGGACAATTTATATATATCACACAATGTTGGACACATATTTTTTATTATATGAGTCAACTAGAAATATGATTTTCTTGTGATTTATCCATGTTTAGTGAAAAGAAGGAAGAATATCATTTGAAATAATGGCGTGTGTGATGTCATTCCAAAGCAATCTATTGACATTTGACATCTCCTATTTGGATTACCCATCGTCCCATCGATTAAATGGCGGTCATCTGGTATGCTTGCTCACTAAATAGGAAAAACTCACCATGAAAATCAAATTTCCTGTTGAATTTTCTAGCTTAAAATGTGTCATTGAAGTACATCATGAGTATATGAAGTGTCCGATGACAAAATAAAAAGAGCAAGTACCTGTAAATGCATCCAACACAAGGGGGAAAATAAGGCAAAATTTCGAACTTTTTTTTGAAATATCTCGATAAATAGTGGTTTGTTCACATTTTCATTATCAAATTCGTGTTTTTCAGACAAAAATACGTAAGTACCAAAAAAAATTTTCGAAAAAAAACCCATCGCATGATAAGTGCAAAATTACCGTTTGATGACTCACGTATAAAATATAATGATTGTGAATATGTTTTCATTGAAAGAAGGATGACAGACTGTAATGAAAATTAGATTACTTCCTACAGCTCTATAAGGGACATCAATTGAACATAAGCCAATAATGTTGACGTGTATTCTTCACACATTATGACTGTTCTGTTATTCCGTATCCTAGGCAACCAGATGACGAATGGTCACGTCACTATGTCACTTCACATTGGTGATTTTCCGTCAAAGACGTCACACACCAATTTCTGACGTCACTCTGACGTACTTTCTTTGACTTGAAAATCACGTCATCATTACGAAGTTGAGTTAACGTCACTTGGATGAGTAACATAAGACGTCGCAGTTTCTATATAGTTCGGTATGTGAGTGTATAATATATAAACAAGGTGTCCCAAACTTCTATGTCCATATCTCAACTTTTGATTTACCATACAGGGTGATTCACGGTGGATGGCACATTAGACGTTTCTGGAGAACTCAACTCAGGATTATTCTGAAAATTTGGTGCCTTGGATAATTAGTAGTGTTCCATCGACCTAAAATATTCTCAGCGTTGCGACGTTGCCGCTTATATTGAAAAGTTGCAACAACTTTGATTTTTTCAATGGAACACCCTGTATATCATTTCATTTTCAGATCCTCCCTCTCGAGCAAATTCCATCGATTTATCACCCTTGAGAATGATAACAAAGATATAGGGTGTGAAAAGTTGAAAGTCAACTTTAAGAATTTTTTGTGTCGGACCTATTCGTAATTGATCAAAACAGTTTTCGTGTCCCTATCTCAACTTTTCATGTACTATCAATTGATATTTAATTGAAATGAATACAGAGTGGTTCAGAATCAAGATTTTTGACCACCCTGAATCTTGTAATTGTTTGCAGGCAATTTGATGGGCTTCTTCATCCAGAAAATTTGTCAAAAATTTGACATTTAGTTTTTTGTTGGGTGACAAAGAATGCATGAATATACGTTACTCAAAAAAGTGAAGCTAATATCTTCTCGCGACACCTACTGCATAATTTTTGATATAAATACAAGCAACATCTCATTCTGATGGAGATGCGTTACTAAATGATATAGCGCTGCTGACTAGACGATTGAATGGACATGACACCGGAGGGACCACCAAGCAGTGTCAACAAATGCATGATCAATATTAGATGTCATCAGAGATATCAATGGTGTTCATCACACCATGTTTGAGGATACATTTCACGTTTCATCACCAAATTTGATCGTCATCTCGACGTCACCGTTAGGTGAGTGACTGACGTCAATATACTTGAGTAATGTGACGTCATTGGACTGTGACTTATTCACGTCATTTATCAGGTCATACGACGTCAACTCCTGACCCTGGTCATTCAACTGACGTAAAAAGACGTCACTGAAAGGTCATCTGGTTGCCTAGGTATTAATAATATTATTATATATAATCATAACCTATATTGCTCTTAGGTCAGTGACATCTCAATAGGATATTTCTGTGGTATCGTGATGCGATATTCCTCTGGCATCGCGGTGCAATATTAGTATCCAAACAAGTGTGACAAATTTATGTACGTCCCCGTGACGTCTAATCGACCACCTACCTGATTTTATATATATGTCGCAATACTCATGGCAATGTAACATATTATTATATATAGCTGGGTTAAAGACTTGAATGTTTGATCATTATCAACCGTTTTGGAAGGAACATATCAAGTGGGTAACAAATACTATTTTTTATTTTGAGTTTCAAATTTAAATCAGAATAAATGACGATATCTTCTCATCAACTCGGATCTAATTCTTCAATTTCGTAGATGGATTCCTCATCGCTACCTTCTTTCTTCACATCAAATTCTTCGAATAATATATCTGACTCTGTAAGAACAAAATCAATCTAGATCGGTTATTTTTTAATCATAAATGTTTCACCTGATTCCTCCTCTTCCTCTGCCTCTTCATTGTCGATCATCTGTTCAACTTCACCTAAATCGGCCAATGTGCTAGTTTCATTTACCAGATTATCCAAACACCTTTGCCAGTATCCTGCACAATTCATAGCCTCCGTGAGAGCTTGTAGTGTCTCATGAGCAGTCACAACATTTTTGATTAGATGATCCTACAAAAAAAACTTTTTGTCGGATACCGCCCGGGAAGTACTCACTTCTCAGACGCTTTTTCTTTGAGAAAGTAGCATTTTTTCGGCCTGGTCCGAGACGTAAATTTTTCCTGGACTAGGCCAGGAAGTATAACGTCGATGTTGTCACACGAAATAACGGCTGGCAGCTACTTGACATGAAATTACTTGACATTTTGATTTTTGAAAGTTTGGCTGCAATTATCCACAACATTGTCTGCTAAATATGGAGAAAAAATCTAGTGAGCTGTAGTATCTGGTCTGCTCAAACAATGGAAATCACCTACAGGTTTCTGTGGCCGATACCGTAGTGCCGTCATACGGTCAACTCGAGGAAACATTTCAATTGTTTTCCTGTCGAACCTACATAACCTTGAATATCGTAAACGAGTTGAGCAGCTCCCTCAGCGGTGCTCTCGGCATTCTCGGCCTGCCGCGTAGTTTGTTGTTCAGTGAGTTCAGAATCACGACATATAGTCATGAGTCACGGTCACTCAGTCATTCGAAAATTCAAAAAATCATTCCTTCTCAAAATGGTTGCTACAGACAACACAATAGTCTCCAATTGCGTAACGTTCAACACCTAAATTAAATGGGATGTAGAATGAGTAGTATGGATCATAAGCTTTTGATCAGGGCTCTGATTATCTCACTTATTGTAATGAGCCTGTAACACTCAATAATCAATATCGAATGAATTCACTAATGTCGCAGAAGAATATCACTTGGAAATCTACAGTTGTTTACATTCAGTTCATTGGAAATCTATGAATGGAAACGGTTTCACACTTTCTAGTAGGCACAATTGAGAGACAGAGTTTGTAACAAATTATCAATCAGAATAAACTACAATACTGGGAGCACAATACAAAACTATATCTATAAATGAAAGGAATATTAGAGCAATGAGAATTGAAGAAGAAATATTTTTCTCAAGAAAAATACAATACAAGTCACGATGGCACGACGGCTCTTGACACTGACAACTTACATAACCACAAATTTCGAAAATTTTCTAGAAAAAAGTGAAGATCATTTCGTCCGATACGGTAACATCCTCTGGTGGTCATACACTCAACTGAGCTATAGAGCAGACCAGTAACTACAGCTCACTAGATTTTTTCTCCATATTTAGCAGACAATGATCCACAATTATCGCAATAAACCATCGAAAAGCAGCAGCGATAGTCAGTTTGAAAATGTCCATACGAAATTTTCAATGTAGCTGTTAGTAGGTATAGGTATTATGTTGAAATTTCAGTAAGTATTTGATACAAATAAGAATTGAAATGTTCCAAATGATATTCTACAATGAAATATAATATGGAAATGTGTCACATTGATTTGTTATTCTATTTGGTTGCCGAAAAATTAGAGTGTACGCAATACGACCAGAAACAGTTTTTTTTTAACTGACAGGCTTCCAGGACTCGCCTACGACTCGCCTAGAATTTTGTCTACTCGTCCAAAAAAACACTATTTTCCAGACATGTTACGTAAATTACTATATTGAGCCTTTCATATGTATATTCCATTGACGCGGACCATCTTATCCTTTTATAAAAAAATATTCACTCATTCAGCCTCAACTGAATTACTACCTGCCAATATCGAAAACTGCAGGAATATAGGTACATTCAAAAATAAAGTAAAAAAAAAAACTCATTATTTCTGATCGAACTGGATAAAATT